TATTAAATTCATTTTTGGCTGTCTGACCCTATGTCTTTTCTAAAGGCGCGTTGGGCGCCAATACAAATTAACTTTGTGGGGAGCACGCAAAAAAAAACGCGCGCTAAAAACGCGACTGGTCAAATTTTTCCAAAAACAGAGGAGTTCAATTTTTTTGCCAAAGAGCAATTGATCTTTAATTACAAGGGGAATTTTTTTGTCTCCAATTGGGATTGAACCAGATCATTTGCCAAAACAAAAACATTAAAATGCGCAGTTGAAAATTAAAATTGAGAAAATTCCAAAAGTAGCAATAATTTACAATTAGATTCCTACTTTTCCCCAAAAAAATTGAATTTTCTCGCAGATATCTGTTCAATTTTGCCTCTTCTCTATCATGGTGAGTAAGTCACAACTTCACAACCCATTGCTCCTTTTCTCAAGCAAGTTCAGTTTGTTATTCTGCTAAATTTCGTGATGGGTTCATCCAGGGTGCTACTTTACGAAATCTATTTTTGGATGACCGACAATAAAATTTTTCTGAGGGCGCCTTTGGCGCCAATATATAATATTTTTGAGAAGGAAGCGGCCGGAAAATGCTTCTGCTTTTTTTCAAAATTTGCCTGCAGAAAATTTGATCAAAATAGGTCTTTTATTGTGATTTGGAAGAGCTAAGAAAATCAATTTTGTCAACCTAAAAAAGGTCAACAAAAACTTCCGTTTTGTTTTTTGAAAATCCGCTTACTCCCCTACGAGAAAAGTTTGAATGTGCCCCTGTGTGTGTTTAAAATTAATTCTTGATCCCCGAGCTATTATTTAACTCAAGCAAAATATCTCAAAATTTCAGGCTTCCTAGGTATAATTAAAAAAACAGCCAGCTAAATATTGCTAATAATAATAAATTTGGATGTTGATTCTAATTTTAACTGCCATTATTTTGGAATTCACATTCTGTATATGAAACGGTCCATGCAAAGACTTTTTTTTGTCAATTTCTTTTTGGCTGACAGCTGAAATGAGAACTGGAAAGAATGACCCCGGTTCCAAACAAATACCCCATGTTCAGACTGTGAACCCTTTCAACGTAGGTATTAACTCTTTTAGTAATTGACTATATTAACTCTAACAGCTTAATAAGTTATCATTCAGATGCAAAATCTTGATGTTTTTAGAAATGCAACAAATAAAACTTTACACTTGATTAACATGAAAACCGTTCTACTGATATATACTTGTAAGCTAAGCCTTATTCTGGCAAAAACGCGACTGATAGAAAGTGTGTTTACAGTTTTGGAGTAAAAAAAATGTTTAATAGTTTCTCAAGTGTCGCTACTTGTGTGCGAAACTTAATTTTTACAAAAAAAACTGCTTGCTCGTCATTAACTGTTTTTTAAATTAAGTATTAGGATTATGGAAGCTTCCGATTCTTGAAAAATCCGATCCTTGCTAAATAAAGACAGATACTCTGCTTTTCATTAAATCACGAAGACAAACATTAATTCCTGAAACAATTTTCCAAAAAAAAAAAATTCGCAGGTTAAAATTCTCATTGAAATCAAGGATTTTGATTTTGTGCAACCAATTCGGATCTCTTTAACTATTCCCCGCCCCGCTTCTGGGGTAAATAGTAACGAATTACCGCCCCAATAATCAATTAATTCAATAGTTAGGCATATATGTGAGATTTGTACTTAGTAAAGAATACACCCCCCCCCCCTTGCAAAAAGGGGAAAATAATTGAAGAGATTCCCCAATTATAATAAAACCGCATAAAAAACAAAACAGTTTGAATAAACTAACCCTGGCATACCTTTCTTCATTTTTAACATTAACTGGTTTTTACAACGCTCCTAAGAGAGTCTGCAGGTAAAGTTTTGCCGGCAAAAAATCTTTATATAATTGGACAAAAAACCTATATGATGTTGTCACTATTTTCAAAATTTAGAATTTTAATGGCGTTTTAACTACTTAAATGTTGATTTAATAGCTTTGTTTTCTTGCACTGGATCGAAACACCCTAATAAAAATCCTTAGTTTCTTACTCCGAAGCTCTTAACAAAACTGCTCATATCAAGTCAAAGCCCTGAATGTTCCAACTGTCCTTAGAAATTCAATTGGAGTTTTACGCGTTTCATTTATCTCAAGTGCTGGTGACAAAATCAAAGCACATTAACTTGAAGGATGATCAAACGTGGAAGTTTTTTTTTTGTTCTGACTTTCGATACGAAAGTAACGGAATATTTGTGCTCGGGGTGGGTTTTTTTTCTTCAGACAAATTTCGACTTTTTAACTAGCCATTTTTGACGGAGTTTTTTTCATATCATTTGAAAAGTATTGTTGTCCTGAGCTCAAATTTGAAAAAAATTTTTACCTGTGATCATTTTTCGTAAAGTTACTGGGGTTTAAAGATTGCCATTTTGGCCAATTTGGGACAATTAACTCGCGATATATTTCGCGCTATTAACGCGTAAGCGGAGAGTTAATCCGTCTTAGAAACCGTTCCAAATTGGTTGAAAGAAACTTAGTTGCCATAATTGTTTTGTTACAAAGAGCGAAATCTATCATTTTTTTTACTTTATATGGCGTGTGACTAAAAGAATTTTTAGTCATTTTAAAAATTTCAAATTTTAGAATTTAATTTTTTTAATGTTACTACTGCTCCATAAACCTTAAAACGCAGTCGGAACATTCAGGGCTTCGCCCTGGTACGAGCAGTCTTAGTCATTTTTAAAATCAGGAAATTAACATCTGGCTTTTTTAAACTCAGGAAAATAAATTAATATCTGTGAAACTTTGACAAAACAGATTTGTTAAAGAGACGAACGTCTGGAGAAAATTTCATTTGAGCTTAATTATTCCAAGCATCGAAACAGTTGCTCCTAGTGAACTGAAAAATTGTTTTTTTTATGTCCTTTAATATGTTTTAAATTTGGCGATAATTAAATTATGAGTAACTTGATTCTTTTAGAAATATGGCTGCTTCATGCAACATCAAATAACAAATGGTTCACCTTTGCCTGTTAGCGCTCTGTCGGAATAAGGCCATCAATGAACAAATTTGAGAGCTATCACAAACCCGTTTACCAAAAAAGTTGTTTTTTAACCTATCAAAACTTTTCTTTTTTAATATGCTTAGTTTTTGTTTACTAGTTTTGTTGTATTAAGACAAAGCCAATATAAATCAGAAAAAAATAAGATAATTTTTCTAAACAATATAAAAATCATCTGTTGCAAATGAGAGGTGTCATTTTTAGTCAAGGTTTTGTTAATTATGTTTTTCCACTGTAAGGGAAGAGTTTGAAAAATGCTGTGGGAACGGTGGGCAATAATTGCGAGAACAAAACCTTGGCTACAATTACAAAATTTTCGCTTGCTGAGTGTGCCTTGCATCGTTTTGCTCTTGCTGTTTGGAATATCTAAAACAACATTTCGGGCTTCTCGACAACATCAATGATATAACAAAAGAGTTTTCGATAAAAAACTTGGTTTTAAAACTCGACTCCAAAACAATTTGAAACTTTCGGCGAAAAGTTTTTCAGTGTCGCAGTTTATGCTAACAAGGACTGCTGTCTTAAAGTTTGGAGAAGCAGCTGTTTCTCACTTCTGTTCAGCGAAAAAAAAACCGAGAAAGTTGTGAATCAGACTATAGTGAAACCGATAATAGCTTAACTCGATTACCAAGTAATAACTGTTAACCTTCAAAAGAAATTAATTGATTTATGATTTTTAAATTTATCTTATTGAAACAAATGATTTTGCCTGATAATTGATAGCAATTAATTTTCCCATGTCCCTGATTGGTCTTAGTTTTAGTTCGGAGTCACTTCTCAATTAATGTGTTCTTCAAAAAACAAAAGAAACAGAAATGCAAATAGAAAAAAACTGCATTTAAAACGCAAGTAGCCAACCAAAATTCACCTCAATTTTAAGGAAAAAAGCATAATTGTTGTAATTTTTTCAAAATTAAATATTGTCATCGATATTTAGTGGTTTTTGTTCCAACTATAAACGACAAAAATGATGGAATAATTGTGATCGGGTGGTCTTTTCTCCAGACAATTTTTGACTTCTTAACCAGCATCTTTCTACAGAATTTTGTACATCAATCGACAGGTATATTTGACTTGGGCTCAAAATTAGAAAGACATTTCACCTTTTTTCTTAAATTTATGCGGGCTTAAAGATTGCCAATTTGGTCAATTTGGGATAACTACCGTGCGTATTAACTGAACTTTTTTTGAAAGTTATAAAAAATATTTTAGTAAAAACTACTCCATAGAAAAAAATGCAGTCGTAACTATAGAGCTTTGCCCTGATACGAGCAGTTTTAGCAGTCATTTTATTAGGATCGAAAATTTATGCTCACTTTAATGTCATTCTAATTAGGAACAAAAGGTCAAGATGATTGCGAGCTGTTTCTATTTATTCGAATATTTTCTTTTACTTATATTTGAAAGCAAAGTTCTAAATATGTTCCGCGCTGAGAAAAATGCTCAAGAACAGAAAACCAATTTTTTCAAGTTTGCTTCGAAATTATGTTATACTTATGCGACAGAGATCGAGTTCATGTAATAAATTCATCTGAATTATCAAATTCTCTGACCTTGATATACATTAATTTGAACTAAATGTCATTTTTTAGCAAAAATGGTAGGTTTGAATCTCAAACTACAAAAACAATGTTTTCTTATTATTTGAGGTGATCTAAGTTCACTCAATTTTGAAAGTTATCTGATCGAAATGTTAAGCCCATGCTCCCTAGAACATATGAAAGAGAAAAATTAAATGTCAAATGCTTTAGTTTGTCCAAAATTTGCCCGAAGGAAATAAATGGACGTTTTGTTTCAAACTTCAAAGGTAAGGATGGTTTAAGACTTGCTAATTATTTAACTTCATTGTCACAACAAAGATTACTAAACAAAAAATTCGTATTTGCATTGATTTTTCTTACCAAACAATCAGCATGCAAATGGTAAATACATCTGATATTTAATATTCTAATATTCAGTTTCGCCCAAAAATCAGTCATTCGAAAGAGAATCTCAAACCAGATTTGATTCAGCTCTTAACATTTAACCAAGAAATGTCACAAAATATCAACTAAGTTTCAAGTTGACTTTTTGAATTCTGGTCTGTACAAAAATGGCAAGTTCAGAAAAGTTTTCTTCAATCAACTCCAAAAAAGAGCTAATGAATCGCTACAGTCGAGAGATAGGACGCGAACACTACAACAAAATCTGCAGCCAGAAAGAGAGACCCCCACCGTACGTGAGAAGAAACTCGAGGGAGAAATTTTACACTCGGTCAACAACCGCCGAAACACTTCAAAACAACAACAATACCATTGGTAACAGTAATACAGACTACTTGTGCAGAGAAATCCCACGCGAACTGGAAAAATATTATCAGCAAATCAAATTCCTCAAAACACTTCTCGCTGAAACACGAGCTTCGTTTGATCAAATTAACCAGTTCGGATATTACGACTTCGAGAACCCGACATCGCCGTTGAAGGTGATAGAAAATGAAGAGTTCGGGATCACCGAGACACTTACCCGACCGGCGAGCATAGTCATACTCGGACAGGATAACATCGCGAAGGCTACAGTTGTCCGAGCGCTATTCGGAGAGGAACTCATTCCCCGAGACAAAGTCGACGAAGACATGGAGCTGCAACGAGTGGTTCGGTTTTCATTCGGCCGGAAACAAGACTACGCGGTCACGACGGCACCTCGACCAAATATTCCGACAGACGAATATGTAATCGTGGACCCCGATAGCGAACTTGACGGCGACGACAGCGAGTATACGAATCGATCGTGTAGTGAAGATTCTAGCAGCACCAGCACTGGTTCCAAGTCCCGAAGATCTTCGAAATGTGAGCAATCAAACTCGCTTTCGTTCCGCTCGGCTATCCATCAGAACATCAGGCTGAAATCTGACGATCGGCTAATTGTCAGCTTAGGCCTGGCGACGTTGGAAGTTCAGCTTCCTCACGCAGTTCTCAAAACTGGAGGCGAGGTGTTAGTCGGACCCTGTAATAACCCGTTTATGACAACTGCAGATTTTCTGAAACGACACGTGTCAGAAGTGCACCCTATTGTCATATACGCTTTGAGTTACCACAAATTAAGCAGAGAAGATATAAGAGAGCTGCAAGTTATAAGAGAACTAAGAAAAGACTTGCCTGTATTTTTCATCAAAGCTTTCGACGACAACTCGTTCGAGTTGACCGAGTCGGCCCAGTACGAAGTGTCGCAGCAGCTTCGGATGCAATTGGTTGATCTTGGTTTCCTCAAACTTCACGAAGAAGACAGAGGTGAGACTTTTTTTTAGTTTTCACTGTTATCTTGAAAGTAACTTTTTAAAGGTCAACTTGTCATTTTTCAAAAATTTATGTAATTAATTATCCTTTAAAGCATACCAAATTGTTGATAAAATGTTCGTGATAACAATTGTGTGAATAATATTTCTTCAAAAGATCGTATATTTTTTAAAATATTTTTTTGTTTAGTTTTTCTAATGTTAAAATTTATATTAATATCTTTGTTTGTACGAAAAGTCTTCTCATAACCAAAAATATATAACTGTGTTGAAAATAATCGACCCATTTGTTTGTAGGCGGAGTGACAATAAACGATGACAGCGATGACAACGAATACTTCAGCAACCGGAAACAGAACTTATTCGAAAACAGCTACCCAATGCACGCCCTCGCCCGCGGGAAGTTCGAATCCAAGAAGGTCGAGGTGGCCAGTGTTCTTTGCGAGACCATTTCCGACATTGAACAGTTTGTGGGGTTTCTAATCAAATCTCTTCGAGCTCACTTGGCTAATTTATCAACTTTACTTCATAACACCCACACTTATGTGCTGAAAAACTTTGTTTCAACTGCCTACGAATTATCGCGCGACTGCCAAATAACTCCCAAAAAGATTTTATATACGAAAGAAAAAGAGCTGGAATTGTTTCAGTCGTTGATGCAAATTGCAAATAAGCAGCAAAATGATCTGAAAATCATCATCCACGAAACGATTCACGGAACACGAGAAGAAATTTTGAAAGAAGCGGCCGATTTCACACTAAGTCACAGCCAATCAATGACTAGCTACGCCGAGGTCAAAAGCTACGAAGCTCATATTCAGAACTTAGTCTTAACCAAAATAAACCAAAGAGTCATTCAAAATATGAGAGACACAACAGCTCAATTAAATGAAAACCTCACAGGTGTTTTGGGAAGATGTCTTAAAGCCCTTGAGGAGAACCTCAATGATCAACTGGGTTCCAGTGAGGCCTCCGATGGCAATGAAGAACCTTGCGACCACCGACCAGCGCAAACTGCCTTAAAAGCAATTCTAAATGCGGCATACATGGTCGAATTGCCAATAAATTCTCAAGAACCAGATGATAAAAACTCTGCCAATTTGGTATCCAAAATGAGAGAACTTTTCACTTCAATGACATATAAGAATTCGCCGCCTTCTTTTTTCACAGCCGATTGGAAAATGTCGATTGCTAATAAGCTGATGTCCGGCTTAAGCGAAGCAAAGCTTGCCAAAATGATATGCCAGCAATTCAAAAACAAATTACAGAATTCACATGAACAATTTTTGAACGCTCTGAAAAACTTAGAAGTTCGTCAGGCGAGGAAATTAGAGAAGAACGAAGAACGAAGGATGCAAGTTCGGAAAAACTTGGCGCCTAAAATATCACGACTCGCTATGGAGTCGTTATCACTTCGGGACTGCGCGCTGTACGGGCTGCCGAAACTAGAAGGTGAAATTGGGCGCGGTCAATACGGGGTTGTCTACGCCTGTCAAACCGGGTGGGGCAAATACACCAATGTGGCAATCAAAAGTTTGCTCCCCCCTGACGAAAAACACTGGAATGACCTTTCCATGGAGTATTACTACACCAGAAGCTTACCAGCCCATGATAGAATAGTGCAAATTAGGGGGTCAGTTATTGACCATAACTATGGGGGAGGGGGTTCGGGACAAGTTGCGGCCCTACTAATCATGGACAGATACCCACGTGACTTGTACAGTGCCATTAAGTCACGACTCTCTTACCCTGACAGACTACAAGTGGCTCTCGACGTCGTCGATGGTTTGAGATTCTTGCACAGTCAAGGATTGGTGCATCGAGATATAAAATTGAAAAATATTTTACTCGACGAGAGAAATCGGGGCAAAATAACCGACTTAGGGTTCTGTAAGCCCGAAGCTATGATGAGCGGAAGCATCGTGGGGACTCCGATTCACATGGCACCCGAGTTGTTGCGAGCCGACTACGATCATTCGGTAGACACTTACGCTTTCGGAATTCTTTTTTGGTACATGTGTGCTGGAACAGTTAAACTGCCCCATAATTTCGAGCAGTGTACTTCAAAAGAGCACCTATGGAGTGTAGTTCAAAGGGGGGTTCGACCCGAGAGGCTGAGTTTCTTCGAGGAGGACGCGTGGAGAATAATGTCCGAATGCTGGCTAACAGTACCGGCTACGAGACCCCATTTGGGTTATATCAGGCCGAGGTTGGAGGCCCTTGTCCAATCAGCAATCACCAGAACTCTCGCTCACAGAAATAACAACAATGATTCACAGACAAGGCAGGCTAGAAATACAACGTTTGTCGGGCCTCCCGCTTTATAGCACCCTCGTAAACTACTTTTAACTTTGAAAAAATTAACTAATTCATGAGCAAGAAAATTGATAACTTCAGGGTGTTTATTTAAAGATGTGGTATTTCATTTTCTTCAAATTTTTGTGCCTTAGTTTTCGTTATTGTTTTGGATTTATTCACTGGTATACCAATTTAATATTTATTTCATGTTTATAAACTAAAACTTTTGTTTATACACCTATCAACCAATTTGTTTTTGTCTACATCACTGATAGTAAATTTGTGAAGTTACCATTCAGTTTCTGAAAAAAATATTTTCTCAACAATCCTAAAGTAATTTGCATACTAAACTACTTGATTATAACTTTTCATATAAAATCGTGAAGAAAGTTATATTTTAAAACTTCGATCTTTTAAAAAAAAGGCCTCGAAAGGCATACAAGAAATCATATGAAGTAAGTAACTGACTTTTGCAATACTAGCCGTTTGATGCGAGGTGAGTTTCAAATGTTACTGCTTGTTTTCTGGGATTAACACTAAAATACGAGAAAATAAAGGCCTGGCACGTACTACCAAGAGACACTCATGGTACTTAGCGACAGAGATAAATTGTAAAATAAATAAATTTTATGTTGCTTTTCTACGAGGCGTTTATCTTTGATCGTGTGATTAAAGTATTTACTGTTTTCGGATTGAAGTAATAGTATTTTTGAACAAAGATAAAGTGTTTCACGCAAGAAAAGTTCTGCGACAGAAAATTAACCCAATCAATAAAAAAAACTACATTTCAAAGAACAACTTCCTGCTACGGAAGAAGAAATAAGATTAAAGGCAGCGAAATCTGGTATGACCACAGTTACTAACAACTGCGTGCTATCGGTGGCTATGAATGACCCCATCAAACCACGTAAGCCTTATAAGGTCAATTTTTTAATTGACCTAGATAAACAGCCATAAAACACAAACTCGACAATATTATCAACCCCTCTGGCAAAAATGCTTGGAGTGAGAAAAAACTCCCTGATCATACAGGCCAAAACGGAGGATTTAAATTAAATGATTTCATCAAAAATTGAATTGAAGTTAGAAAAAAAATTGTTTAAATTTTCGAACGTACATGATACTTTGTAACATTTAGTACTTAATGAAGAAGAAACCAAAATGCTTATCGAATGAAAAGAAAGTCTTTACTTAAAAAATTTCTCAATGTTCAGTTTAAAGACTAGATGACAAAACTAATTTCTGCGCTTTGGATATGGTTCGCAAAGCGCCTTAAACAGTTTCTTTGTATTTTGCATTTGTGAGTAAAATAAGTTCAGGAACTGTAGTTTTTTAGCCTTTCTGTGACTACATATGGCTTTGTAGCTTGCTGTGATATGCGGCCTTGTGGCTAAGACAGGGGTTCTGAAATTCTCTTATACGATGCATCCTTCTGATTACGCATGGAAAAAACGCCTCGTACAAAAAGCAACATAAAATTTATTTGTTTTACGATTTACTTCTGTCGCTAAATCATTATGTAATTTAATTATAAGCTTCGCAAATAAGAAATTTTATTAGATCACACTGCAGAATCAGGCCACTAGGAACAAAATAATATTTTTCAAATGAATAACAATTTACTGCAACAGCTAAAAACAATTATTTTAAAGCACAGAACACAGATTTATTCAACAAAAAACTAGTGGATATAATCGACAAATAAGCAAAAGTGTTCATAAATCCACACCATACAAATAGCAAAAACATGCGTAAAAAAGTTTTGTTTTTGAGACCGGTAACAACTAGTGAAATCCAAACAATTTGGGAACACTTGAAAAAGAAACTCAGTATAATTTGCCACATTATCAATCGGTCCTACATTTTTTCAATACGAAAGCATATAGAGCCTGTTCTGACTAATTTGTTTCTAAATTATTTTGACACGAGTGGTTTTCCAAACTCAAAAAAATTGCAAGAGTAATCCCTATACATAACAAAGAAAATGAGCTTGAATCTTCCATTTTTAGACAAGTTTTTCTCTTTACCCGTGTTGTCAAATTACAAGAACGATTAAATTTAGAACCGAGTTTTAGATTTTGTCACTCATGAAAACAAACAACATCGGTCTCAGGTCAGATTCAGACAAAAACTAAGTACATTCGACGCTATTACTTCTCTACTAGAAGAAATCAGATTTGATTGGGACAACCAAGCCATTGAAACTCAAGGTTCATTTCTTAATTTAAGAATGGACGTTTGATACTGTTGATTATGAGATTCTTCTAAATAAATTTTATGACTATTATCAAAGAGGATCTGTATTTGATATTCTATTATCAAACGTATCAGAAAGCAATTTTGAAGCGTCAACAAAATCAAATCGAAAATCAAAGGGGGAATCTCGCCAGGCTTACTTCTAGGACCACTATTTTTCATTCTGTTCATTAATGATATACCACAAATGATTTTAAAAAAATGTCTGATTCTATTCCGATGATACAGCCGAGAAAACTCAGTCTGAAAAATTAAAACTGATCGAAACCATGAGAAAGCTGTAAAAAAGTTTATAAAAGCAATTAATCAATTAAAAGGAACGATTAAGACATAGAGCAAAAGTCTGGGTTTGAACCTCTGGGTTTGAACCTCAATAAAAACTGGAACTCACGCATCACTTTGAAGTTTCTTTATGAAGCTAAGCAAATTCCATAAAAAACAACTATCGGCGGTGTAAGGTTCTAAATAAACAACAATTGAAACAATTTTACTAAACATACCTAAGCTAGTTATTCGATATGGAGTATTAAAGCACGAATTAACCTCACAGTCAAACCTATACAAAACTGCTTTCAACATCAACAGATTAACGAGAGTCTTAATCTTCAAGGAAGTTTGAATCAGTATGTGTGATGCGGGGAAAAAAGAAAATATCTAATGTAACAGAAATTCATTTATACGAATTTTTAAATTTTTTATGTTAAACTATTTGCGAAAAATTTCAACATCAGATGAACTCTTCAAATTGCCATATAACCTTAAGAAAGTAATCAAACTAGTTGTCAATAATTAAAAAAACAATGATTTTTGAATGGTTACCAGAACTCAAAAATTCTTTAACTGCCTCACAAATCTTTTCCGACTTTATTCGAAATGATTTTCAAAATGACACGAAAGTAATTTCACAAGTTTCTCCATAAATTTTTAAATACTACAGTTCTGGAAAAAAATTTAGCTGTTAATTTTATTCTAATTTTTTCCCAAATAACCGATTTTCTCCAATGTTTAAACTCTGAGCAAAACTTTTATGTATATACCTAAAAAAAATTTAAATTTCCTTAGATCGTAAAAGTTGAGTGTCGTAACATAAAATAATAGGGGTATTACACCGCCATGCCGAATAAAACTATATTTTTTGCGCTCAAAAAGGTCTAAAAACAGGCTTAAATTGCATAACGACGAACTCAGAGACTGGGTTCTTCAAGTGATCATATAAATAGTTTGTATCAATCGTTGTGAACCTACACTAGAATTAATTTCTTATGATTAATAATACTATTTTGTGAGCTTATTTTAAGCAATTATTTTGTGAAACTTAACACCTCTTTCAGATAAGCATAGGTAAATATATAGGACTAGTTTTTTTTCAAAAAATTTACTCTAAGCCAAGCTAAGAACGAAAATCATATAAGCAAATGCTTGTCATAAATGTTCCTACGATTTCGAAACGGTATTTAATATCTGAGTGTATGAACTGTACAACTAGCAGTTTTCAATCCTGTAAGGTTTAAATTAAGTTTAAACTTATCAAAAAAAAATTGGTCGTGGAAACAAAATTGGTTGTTGAAAAAATTTAAAGAAATCAAAAACAGCTTTTATTTTTCTCTGTGAAATAGCAAAATTAGACTATTTTTCATAAAAAGGAAAGTTGTAATTGTTCTGTTGTCTTCAGATTTTAACAGTTTTTTTAGTTGTTATAGAATGTGGTTCTGGGACAGTTTAAATTCTGTAAAGTCAAGTTTTTGCAAATTACTTTGTTTGAAAGTCCTTTCACGTTTTTAGCGAAAAATTTTCGGGATGCATCGAGTTTTTTTTTATTTTGTAGATCCGCTGCCATTAACAAAATATTTATTCCCTTTTCTACAAAAAGCTATGCTCTATTCAGCGGTAGGCTTAGGTGGGGGCCGACGCTCTCTTCCCCTCAGGGGTTCGACCTTCTCGCCATCCAAAGGGTACCCCCCATTGTTATTAATTCGTGGCAAACAGTTTCGGCGACCCGCCCGAAAAGTTTTCTATAGGCGCCTTTGGCGCCAATGTATACTAATTTTGAAGAAAAGATCGCGCCAAAAAGACTATTTTTTTTTGTCAAACTGTTTCCAGAAACTGCTCAGAAACAGCAATTTTGACATGTTCTTTTTTTTTCAAAAACATGCCTGCGGCGTGGAAATTTTGTCGACATAAGGTCTTTTTAAGTGTTCTGGGAGCCCTTGGAAAATCAATTTGGTCGATCTAAAAAACGAGAATAATAAACTTGAGACTGTGGACGAAAACTTTGCTATCAGTATAGTATATTAAAAACGACTCAAAATCCGTTAAATAAATGTCAAAGTTGAATTAAGTTAAGTCAAATTTTAAAAAACCCAAATGTCAAAGTCCCTTTTTGGGAGCCAAGCAATCCAGAGTTTCGGAGAATTAAAAACGTGTGGCGTGAAATCCGGATAATTGCAATTAAAATTTCTTTGACAATCTGTTCAACGCTAAAAACAATGAACAATTCTGTTACCTAAAAATTAGCTCAAAACTGCAATAGTTTGCAAAAAAAAGACTATCAGAACGTAAAGAAGCAATACTAATTTTGTTAATCGTGAGATAATTAGTATGAGAAACTAAATAAATTATGCAAATGATTCTTAAAGACTTTTAAGAGGATCAGCGTATCCTTCCGATTACAAGTCAATGAAAGTCCGTCTTATTGATAAGTTGAGACCCTACACCCGAGCTTTACCAACATAAAACAAGGTTTTGCAACATTTCAAAAAAAGCTGATTTAGGAAAACTTAATGGAGTGAACTGAAATACCTTTGTAAACAGTCTGTGCGCCATTTGTTTTCGACCTTTTGGTATCCAATTTCTTGAACTTAAACAGAATAAAATCATGAACAATCAATCGTTGAACTATGTTCACACAAAGAGAAAAACCCTCCTAAAATAGAAAAGTATTCTGGCATTCTTA